TGCCCATTTTGTGATTCTCCCGTTGGCCATTGGATTCCTCATAATGGTGGTGAGCGGCTGAGTTGTAAGTACGGTTACATGATGGGCCTAAAAGTATGGTGCCAAGCGTTTGATGGCTGCTATAAAGGCGAGAATGGTTTTCTCCATTATGGTATACCTTGTCTCTGGTCCATTCAGGGCTTTGCTTACAAAATAAATTGGCCGCTGAACGCCAATATCTTCTTTCAACAGTACCGAGCTTAAGGCAAGATCGGCCACTGCCAGGTACATGTACAGATGTTCCCTTGGATCAGCCTTTGTCAAGACCAGGGGTGAGGATAGGTATGCCTTGAAATCTTCAAAGGTTGTCTGACATTCTGCTGTCCACTCGAATGGATTGGCCTTCTTCATGATTTGGAAAAACGGGATTGCTCGGTCGGCTAACTTGGAAAGAAACCTTCTCAGGGCTGCCAGCCGATCGGTCAATCTCTGAACCTCCTTCAGGTTCCTTGGAGCCTCCATATCCATAATTGCCTTTACTTTTTCAGGGTTAGGCTCAATTCCCAGTTAGCTCATCATGTACCCCAAGAATTTGCCTCCCCAGACTACAAAGGCGCACTTCTTGGTGTTCAGTCTCATGTTCGCTTTCTTCATGATTCCGAAAACCTTCCTCATATCCTGAACATGATCCTCTTTTCTCCTGCATTTGACCAGAATGTCGTCCACGTAAGCTCTCATGGTGACCCCCAACACCTCTTTGAATAGCATCCCAATCATCCTTTGAAATGTGGCAATGGCATTTTCTAACCCGAACGGCATGATGATATAACAGAACACACCGTTTGAGGTAATGAACGTTGTTTTTTCCGCATCATCTGGGTGCATGAAGATCAGGTGATACCCTCGAAAGGCATCCATGAAGCTCAGCAACTCGCACCCAGCAATGTCGTCTACCAGTAGGTCAATTCTGGGCACCAGATAGGGATCCATTGGGCATGCCTTATTCAGATCAAAATAGTCCACACACATCCTCCAGGTTGACCTTTTTGGAGCAAGAACCACGTTGGATAACCATTCCACATATATGACCGGCTTGATATGCTTGATTTTCAGAAGTGTGGCCACCTCTGCCTTCGTGAACTCACGTCATTCGGTTGACTGATACATTTTCTTCTGTTGTATCAATTTGACCTTCAGCCGAATGGCCAACTTGTGGAAAATAATTTCCGGATCGATACCCGGCATATCTTCCGGCCCTCGTGCAAACAGGATTTGGAATTCCCTCAGTGTGGCAATCACTCCTTCTCTAATCTCTAGTTCCAGATCTACCCTGATTGTGACCCTTCGGTCAGAGAGCGAGTCGAGCTCAATTTGCTCTAACAATGTGGCCGGCTCGGGGTGCGCCACAAATTCTGAGGTCTGAGCTTCCACCTCAATGTTGTCGATGTGCATGCCCCGGGTATTTATCTTTTTCATCGCTTCCCGATAGCAAGTCCGGGTTGTGGTTGGATTCGTTCGGGCTACCCCCACACCGGTGACGGTTGGGAATTTTAACGGAAGCAATTGCCTCCAAATCTTCCAAGCCCGGTCAGCCTAGTATGACGTTGTGCACACAGTCAATGTTTACAACCACGAACGTCATATGGACAGCAGCTCAGTGTGCCTCATCCCCAATTTCGACCAGAAGGGAGATGGTCCTTTCCGCGTCAATGCAGTTTCCCGTAAAACCCGACAATGGCGTTTTCAGCGGGTTCAACTGATCCTTCCTCAGATTCATGGTCTCGAAGGTCTGTAAATACAGAACGTTCACACTGCTCCCTGTGTCCACCAACACCCGGCGAACAAGAGCATCATCAATACACATACTTACCACCAGTGCGTCCCTGTGCGGACTAGGTGATGCAGGCAGGTCGGCAGGACTGAACGTGATGGGTTCAATCCTGCCCTTCTTCTGTGGGGGGTGGAAACGGATGCCACCAACAGACCTCGCTCGAAACGCTTCTGTTCGGCCTTTGTATCTCCTGTCTCTACTCCCCCGAAAATCACTTTTACTTCCATCCTAGACTTCTTTCTGGGGTTCCCTGATCCTTCCCCTTCTTCCCTCCGTGGAACGTACACATCATTCATTGGTTCGGCATCACGCCGATCATCCCGTCTCCTTCTATTCGACCTTTTATTCTGCTTTTGATTTGGGGAGGGCCTGTTTGGGTTGTTATTTACATATTTGCCCAGATGACCCTCCTGGATCAATTCTTCAATGACAGCCGCCAGTGTTCGACAGTTCTGGGTGAGGTGACCCTTCTGTTTGTGATATTTACAGAAAGCGTTCTCATCTACCCCCATATAAGTTTTGGTATCGGTCGGAGGGGGAATGTTGTCCTTCTCTTGATGCAGGATAGTTGCAATTGATAGGACAAGTGGGGTGAAACGTCTTGTTTTTTAAGGTGGTGCGGCCGCTGGGATAGGACCCAGCCGATCGGCCAATCTTATCGGTGCTGTCGGTGCAGTTACTTTATCCCTGATCATGATCTCCTCCTCCAATGCGGCGTGCTGTCGGGCCCTCTCCAGTACTTCGGCATAGGCCGTGCTTGGATTCTTCTTCAAATCCCTGTAAAGTTCCCCGATCTGGAGGGCACCGATGAAGAGGGTGATTGCAGTATCTTCGGTCATGCTCCCGACCCTCAGGGTTTCATCTCTCCATCTGGTTAAAAATTTATTAATGGACTCTCGCGACCCCTGCTTGACACTGATCAGGTAGCTGAAGTGTCGTTTAGGGGTAGTACTGGAAGCAAATTGTGCCAAGAATAATGAGGAAAACTCGGCAAAGCACCCGATCGACCTGGGCTGCAGGGTGTCGAACCACTCCTGGGCAGGCCCCCTGAGTGTACGAAAAAATAGTCTGCAAATGGCCGCATCTGTTGCTCCAAACAGCATGACCACCCCTTGGTAACTTCTCAAGTGGACATGGGGATCTCCCGCCCCATCATATGTCAGACCGGTCGGCAGTCTGCAATCCCTCAAGATCTCAGCATTCATTATTTCCCTAGTGAAGGGAGAAGTAATCCCGACTTGTGCCGGAGTGGGTTGTTGGGGTGTTATGTTCATCTGCTCTCTCATTTCAGTCATCTGCCTCCTCATCTCGGCCATTTCCTCCTCCTGGGTCGTTCGGGAAGGTGGTGGTGGAGTTCTCAGATCAACCAATTCTGGGGTTCTTTCTGGTGGGGGCATATTCACATTCTGACGTCTCTGAATGAACATGGTGCCATCACATTCTTCATACTGGAAGCGGTGTCTAACTGCGTAGTTCCTCTGACTTGGGACCCGGTCGGGGTGCAATCACTAGGAGTGTGTTGCCTGTCCCTAGTCGCGTGAGTCCTTCGGTGAACTCCCCGATGGGCCCGTGAATGGACCGAAGCCCTTGTTGTTTCTGTTCAGTGGTTTCCTCATCAAATGATTGCATCCGTCGGAGTGGAGACAGGGGTGTGTGCGTAGTTTCCGTTGTGTGGCTGGATTGCCTCCCATCCTGCTCATCCGCCAATGCTTGCATCACCCTGGCCAGATCTCGCATGGCATGGGAGTTCATCCTGAGTGCTTCGGGAATGAAGAAATCCTCGTCAAAATGTTGGTACGATTCCCGGCTGGATTGTCCTTGGGTGGTCCAGCTCCCCGGGGTCCTGCTGTCCCCACGTCTCTCCGAGCTTCCGTCATTACGTTGAGAGGTGATTCTGACCACCTTAAAAGGTAAGTTGATGTTTTAGGTAAGTGGTGGATTGAAACTTTTTGTTCAAGTTCCCACAGACGGCGCCAATGTTGAGGTTTAATCTCGTAGATCCGAAAGCCCAACACACGCTTTGGATATTAAGGATGTGGATGTTATCTCGAGGATCAAAGAAAATATAAAAACTGAATGATGTTATACTCAAAAGCCCACTTATATTAAGTAATTCGCTGATTACACTGAAAACTACTCGAACGGTATGTCGGAGTAATGATTAATACAAGAACTAGAGTAAGAAATCTATACTAAAGCTCTGAGTATCAAAATGCCAACCTGTTACAATGTAATTAATGTCTCTATTTATACTAAAAAGGGGTAGGTGGAGGGTATGGGGTGCTCCAAGATGATTGGTTGTTTTTCATGCCACTTGAACACACATGCTCTCACTTGTTGACGCCATACTCTAGCATTTTATGCACCCTACCACTTGCGAGCTACCCGTTCGAGAAGCAGACTGATGATCCTAAATGGCGTTATTAATATGATCCAAGTGTACCGTTTAACCCGTTCGACACGTTGGGGTGAACACCCATTGAACTCCAGAACCCGTTCGGGGTGAAGCTCTTCATGGGCCCATCCTCTTTCTGATGTCCCCAGTGGCTTTTGGGCCGAGTGTTGGACCTTCGACCCAATATCACAACATATACTTAATATATTAATTAGATGTAATATGTAAATATAAGTAAATAAAAAGTATGTAAAAGTAGATATTAAGTATATAATAAGTAAATAATAAATATAAGTAAAATAATATATGTATTTATAAGTAGATAATAAATATATAAATAGATATAATAATGGTATAACTAATTTAAATATATATGAATATATATTAATAGGTGTAGAGAGAATTGGAGAAGATGAAAATGATTAGAGAGTATTAGAGAGTAGGAAGAATGGGAGAATAGATGTAGAAAAATGTTTAGAAAATAGGAGTATATATATATATTTTATTTGTACTCACACCCCCCCCCCCCCCCCCCAAACCCAGCTCTAGAGCCGCTTGGCACTTTGGCAAGTTGCAACAGTTAGGAGCAGCGCAATCAATTTAAAAAAATCTTTTTTTAAATTATAGCCGGTCCCGGTCCCCCTTTTCCCTATCCCATCCCCCTACCCCCGGTTCGGGTCCCATGGACCGGTACCAGTCCGGTTCGGTACTAAACAGTACCAGGCCGGGCCTCGGGCCAGGCCAACCCGTCCTGGACCATCCCTACTTATGACTGAGTCATTGAACTTGAAATTTGAGCAAAGTTCTTTAATCAACCAATTTGGGAAAACAGTTACCCAGTCAATCTGATCTCATTCCAAATATTCTTGGAACAAAAAAGACACAAACTAGGTAGCTGATGTACTAACTTCATATGAAATCGTTGTCTTATGATTGAACATACATATGCATAATGCCGTCCATAAATCAAGAATGTCATTGAGACTAAAATCCGAAGAAAAAAACGTCTTGAGCCTAAATTCCGAAGAAAAAAGCTCCTTCAGACTAAAATCAAGAATGCATACACTAAATCATTAGAATATGATGGTAAATATTGATTTCCGGTTAAGATGTACTCATATACATAAGTGCTATGGAGAGTCACTGCTTCCATCATGTTTGCTGCATAAATTAGAGCTTCGATGAGAAATAAGCATCATCACCATCTCTATATAAATGAATTAAAGAGCAGAGAAGAATACTATATAAGGTACGGAGTATTTGATAGCAATAGAAGATGAAGATACCTAGTAAAAATTCTTTATTGAGTAAAAATCACCTCAACTCTATCAAGTGATGCTTTTAACCGTCCAGAACTCATGTTGAATAATGGCTCCTCAGTACCTAAAGCCCTATCCGCTCAAATTCAGATAGCAAAAAAACGAAATTGAAATCTTCTATCAGTAAGGGTGCCACCCGAAGCCCCCATTCTCCTATAACTGCCTCAAGAGTTTGGCATATTAAACGTAGTACGCTTAATAATTTAAATTAAACATGCTTTTAGCCCAGTAAATAGTGCTTTTTTGTTTAAGGTCCATGTTTGTATTTCATCCCTGCAATTCAGGGTTTTTTTAGCCCTTCTCCTACTCTCTGTCAACTTTTCTGTTTAAGAAAAACAACTGATGTAACTCACAAAACTTCAATCTGCCTTGCCACGTCACTTCAATTTTAAAAAACAGGTATTTTATTTCCAGAGAACCACATAGACAAAAAAGTGACAATACCGAGCTTAGCCCAGACTTCATTCAACCAATAGTGTACGAAGAGTTATAAGAAGTTGGAATGGGGTGGTTATAGAGTCCTGAGAGCTGCATCAATTTTTGTATTCAATGAAAGTTAAAGGAGAGTCAGAGAGGGGCTAAAAGAAGACAATAAAAAATGCATGGATGAAAAGATTTTCATTTCAGAGATCTAAAACGAAAATGCTACATTTACATAAACTCAATTTCAAATAACCTATATAATTCAATGATGCATCACATATAAGCTAGTTACTTTTTGTGGAGTTGATTACACTTTTGATCCTACGAGCCTTATGCCAATTTCACATTTGGTCCTTGTCTTTTACTTTATCCACTTTTGGTATTTGACTAATGTTTCTTAACCATTTGTGGTCCTACCGTCTAACTTTCCAGCGTATCTCCGGCACTTTTAACCACCCGAAATATCAACAGAGTCCATATACGGGCAAAAAGCAATACTCATCTACCAAAGATGGTCAAAGTCAAAGGCACGGGCCAATTATAAAATTGATACTGATAGTCCTTAGGACCGGGTCACCGGGGGTATGCAAGATCCAAGTAAGTTGCCGGAAAACACAGGTATGAGGTGAGTATAAACTCCGGCAAAGCAACGGTATACTAAAATTTACGGATCCCCTTCTACAAGCCGGAAGGTGGGCATTTATGCAAAAATTAGCAATACTCAGTGAACAAAGAAAATAGCTAGTCTAATAAGAATGTGCCACATGTATGGCTAATTGGTGAGAGAAATCCTGATTAATTGGTATTGTTATACGGATGATTGTCCTTTGCTAACAGAATGTCTGGACAAGCCATACGTATATAGTGATAATTGGCTACGGTAACAAATTGGATGACGTTAGCCCTAAAGTTAGTCATTCCTCGGTGAGGTAGCCCTTGATTTGGCTGAGATGCTTGTGCTAAAATGTCTAAGTCCACATATCTATGCAAAGCGCTGAGCTCAGCGTGAGTGTGATGATACCTAGATCAGATATGAACAGATATGAATGCCCAGCTCAGAGACTGTGAAGCTCGGCTCGGTGTGATAGAGCTTAACTCAGGTCTGAGCTACCTTCCCAAGTTTGATTGAGAGGGCTAGGTCTGCAGAGCAGGATCTCTGCCACGCTCGCATTGTTCTGGCAGTGATGGCTACCCGGGCTGAATCTGCCGAGAGTAAGCTGTGTAAGGCCCAAGAGAAGGTCCGGGCTGTAAATATAGCCTAGGGCCTTAATGTTGTCAGATTTGTGCAGCTGGAGACGGATGTGGTCCTTCTTAAGGAGAAGGCCGAGGCTGCCGCTACTGAGCAGTGTAAGGAGCTGGAAAAGGCCTGAGCAAGTTAAGGCTGGCTGCTAAAAGAAAAGAGATGAGGCTGCTGCTTCTGAGCACGCCCTTGCCTTGGAAAAAGTCAAGGCGGGCCTTGCTGCCGAACATGCCCTGTCCTTGGAAAAGGTGAATGCTGAAGCCGCTGCTGCCAAGGAGGTGGTTGACCACCCTGCTGGCGAGGAATATGCAAGAATTGTCCTCTTTGAATCTTTCAAACTACACAAGAATTAACCATGAAGGTCACACTTGTGGTCCGGGGTTGAGAATAGGCCTCAGCCTCTGCCATTTTTCATTTTCAACGGTTTTTCAAAAGGATTGATAAAATTCCCAATAGTTGTTTTTGCGGAGCTCAGAATGGTGAAGCCCAACTCGAGTGTAATGAGCTTGGTCTGAGTGGTAGCTGGCATTGCCTTGTAGATCTTGGATACTTGATGTTGGACTCAGACTCAGGTCAAGTTGCTGCACAGGAATTGACTCCAGTCTCGGTCATGGAATTGAGCTCGACCTCGGTTGCGGATTCGGGCTTATCTCAATGATCTGAGAACCGGATATACGCTCAGCCTTGGTGAGTTCAGTCTCGGCCGGTTGAGTTTGCCTTAGATGATTGTGAAGGTTCTTTCATGTAAAACTGATACCCATGGGGTCTATGGCAATATATTTATCAGATACAATACTCGTAGGACCAAAATCGGAATTTATACCTTTTTGGGCTGATTAGAAAACTACACACATTGATGGACCTATACTTATTTATGAATGGAAAATATATGTTTTACTGTTGTAGTGATGTTTCATAAATAAATTATATTGACTCAGAACCAAATCCATTATTTTGGATTTTCATGTTTTTACTGGAACTCAAAGTTCTAGTGTTGATTTACGGGTCTTAACATTCAAAGTGGTAAGAAAATGAGGTGAAAAATAGAACTTGCCCAGTCATTTCTGGAAGAGCATAATCCGCTTTCCACCTGAAACGGAAATCAACACCTGGACACAAGCCAAGTGATGTCTTATTCTGAATCCTAGATACGCCAACTTCACCGAAGCAAGTACTGAGCTTCCATTTCCAGCCAATTGCATGTGAGTGAAAGCTATGGCCTACTCCTACCTGGATCAGTTGCAAGTGTTCTGTAAATTATAAAAGATTGTGCATGTCTTTCCATTAATGTGGGAAACAGAAGGAGAGGGAGGAACCTGAAGATTCAAAAACTTTGTTACAGGGATCTTTGTAGAAAGAACACGGACTTCATGATGCAAAGGCTCATAGAAGAATTTCCATAGCCGATCAGGGGATGAAGGCTTCAAAACCAGTTTTGCCGTGTACTCATTGCTTGGAGCATTATAAAACTAAATTAATAAAACACAGAAAGTTACAATCAGGAGCATTAAACTCAAGTTCTGAGACGCTTACAAATGTTTCACAATTGAAACACAGACACAGACACAAATATAGATATATGAGTGAGTGAATGCATTTGATTGTTTGCACAGAAAGTAAGCTTAACACAATCCATTGACAGTGTGCCACAGAAGAAAAAAGTGGAATTCCAAATACTATTGGTACTAATCTAGCTGGTGATATGAGGGTGCGATTACACTATCTAGGAGGCCACAATACCACATTGATAAAATTGAAATTGAAAAATAAAGGTTACATTGTATAATTTGAGCAATTGAGGCACTATTATCCTTGCTTGGTTAGAGGACATGGAAAGTAGCAAGGGGGGAAGTGCAGCAGTCTTGGTTGGGGGTACGGAGGGACTAGGGAGGAAGCTGACAGAGAGCCTCTTGATTAAAAAGATATTCCAAATATCATTTTTATACATTTATATTACAGTACTTTCCATAAAAAACAAAATTAATGTGATGATATCATTTGTATTAATGTTTCAAAAAAATAAACTCATCCACAATCCTCACTCGGAGAAGACATGACATCATTTTTAACTCGTAGATTTTCCTCCCCTCCCCTCCCCTCGCCTCCCTTTCATTATGATGAATCTGGCTGATAAAATTAACACTACCACACTATTCATAGAATCAATAGCCAGCGAATGTTATTTTCAGTTTGTAGCTTTTTACCAGGTATACTGTTCAAGCAGCTCACACCCGGATCCCAACAACAAACCCATCCAATTCTGCTCAAGGATTCCCAATTTAATGGAGAATTGACACCGCAAAACCGAAGAGAAGATACCAGGTAATGCTCATACAAAACACAACCAGTAACCAAAGAGGCAAAGCCCGATCCGAAATGAATAATAATGATGATAATAATACCTCCAGATTGACGCCAACACGAAAGCCTTCCAGTTCCTTCCTGAACTTAAGAAACAACTCCGAAGGCATCAAATTGATGTTGTAAAGCTCGTCCCAGTTTGCGGGTTCTTCTGCAGCCCCTTCCATCATCCGCAACCCAGAAATTACCGCTCCGTATCACGGCGGAGTATTAATCTTTTAAAGCCACTGCGGCCCCTCCCTGTAGCAAATTCGAAATTTCAACAAATTCGAAACGGATAAGTCGCTAGTAGCTAGGGTGTAGGTTCCTCAGGTTCGGTTTTGAGTTAAAACCAAATATAGAATCAAAGTAAAAAGTTCGGTTCGATATCGGTTCGGTTCTACACTTCAAAACTTGGAACCATGGTTTAATTGGTTTGGTTTGTTTCGATTCGGTTTCGGTTTTTTCAGTTTTTTACCAAAAATTTATCATTTGATTTAAAATTGATATAATACTTTGAGGGATCAGACATATATTACATAAAGAATGCAAGCACACTACAACAAATAAAATAAAAATGAAAATAAATAAATATGTCATTAATTATATGAGTATGCGAGAGAGATAAAAGTATATATTATTAATTTACATTGTTTGTGACTAGTTCAAAAAAAGTTCATGAGTATATACGTTATATGTGATATAGTTGAGATAAATATTTATTGTTTCATCAATACGAATTCTTTAAGTTAAATAAAAACAAAAAGTTAATTAATACTAATAACAAGTAAAAACATATTATCAGTATAGCTACATTATTACGTGCAATGAATGTGTAAATAAATTCACAAACTAAACTAAACATAACAAACATTATTTCTCTAGCACAAGAAAACCAAAAACTATTAATGATATTAGGATTAGTTAGGATTAATGCTTAACAATGGACAAATAAATTTTACTCCGTATATTTTAACTAGTTCGGTTTGTTTGGTTCGGTTCGGTTTTGAAGGGTAAAAACCAAAACCGAACCAAACAACTACGGTTCGGTTCGGTTTTTTACATTCGGTTTCGGTTTGTTAGCGGTTCGGTTTTATTTGACTACGGTTCGGTATGATTTGATTCGGTTTTCGGTTTTCGATTTTTCGGACCCAGCCCTAGTCGCGAGTGAATGAGAATTAAAACTAAGAGAAAAGAGAAAAATAAGGCCAGAGATTCTACGATCAGACCCCTGCACAGAACATTTGAAAATACACCTTTCAACTCATTGAAAATTAAGCAATCAGATCTTTTTTTACCTGTTGGTGCAGGTAAAGAGATAGAAATTACCGGCACCAACAGGTAAAAAGGATCTGATTGATTAATTTTCAAGGAGTTGAGGGGTATATGCAAATTTTCTGGGTCATTGGCCTGATTGCAAAATCGCAAATAGTTCGAGGCTTATTGATAGAGTATATATCTAGAGAGAAGTGAGAGCTAGAGAGAGAAGTGCAAGTAATGCTTCAATAGAATGATTTTGTAACCCCTATAACTACCTCCAGAGGAAGTATTTATAGGAAAAATACGGGCTGGGCTCCCAAGCCTTGGGCTTGGGAGGCCCATTTACAACTGGACCGCTATTGGGCCGAATACTGAGTAACTGATGGGCTATATAAATGAGTAAGTGTAAAATCTAGTTCTGCGAGTCCTCCGTGGACGACGAGGGTCTGGCCGACGAGGGCACGGCCGATGACGACACCCTGGTTCCCTGGCTTCAGGGTCATATTCTGAGTCGGTCCTTCTTCGGCCGACGAGGGTCCTTTGGCCGACGAGGGCACCGCGTAATGGCTTTGCTTTCTGTTCTTCTGAGTATGTGGGTCCTGGGGCCTAGACCCATATACTCCATCAGGAGTCCCCCACTCTCTAAGCTGAGATGTAGACGAAGTGAAGGAGAGTAGATTTCTGTGCTTGATGCTCTTAGCCGATGCGGGACCACGTTGGCCGTTCCCTGTCGTGGCGTTTGGTGGCCCTGTTCTAAGTTTGGCTGTCACCCGTTCCTTGATGTGGACGTGGAAGGCTGTTACTCCTTTGGTGCGCTTGTTTGTGGACGATGAGTGTTTCAGGTACGTCAACCTCCTGTTCTTTGATTCCTGGCCGAGAGTGGTTTGTGGTCTCAAAGCCGATAAGTGTCCTGTAGTTTCAAGCTTTGCTGCGGCCGATGGTGCACCACGATGTTATTGACGTTGTGGTGCATGTCTGATGTTTGTAGTTGTGGACTTGGTGTATTTTTATTTTCTCATTTTGCCTGCTATTCTTGAGGCCGGTGTAGTCCCCTAGTCCCCCATTGCTTCAGGCCGAATAGTGAGTGAGGGGTGAAGGAGTAGCCTGAAACTTAGGCCGAAGTGAGATCCTCATACTGCCCTTGGATCCAACCCTCTAGCGATTTCCTGACCAAGGTAACCTTGTGGGAGAACCCTTGGACGCAGGTCGCTTTCAGAGGGTTATCATCAAGGGTCTAGTGCAAGGGCCTCATGGCCGTTGGGTTCCATTCCCTTGGGGTATTTTGGCCGTTGTAAAGCCTTACTTTGCATGATATGTCTGGCCGCCTAGATGGCCGATATGGGTGCTGTTGTGTAGCCGTTGTCTGTGTTGGCCGTCGTGGGTGCTATTTTTCCTCCCTTGATCCGTAGGGCCTGCCTCGTTGGTGGGCCGCTGATCTGTGGGAGCGGTTTGGCCTGTAGACAGAATGGTGGCATCCCATTGGTGGCCGTTGGTGTGCCCACTAAGGTGATGCCACGTGTAGTTACCGTTAGGAGGGGGGTTATAAATACCCTCCCCGTTCCGAGGACAGGCCTCATTTGCATTCTGAGTAACGAAGTGCTGCCCAAAATTTTTTTAGAGAGATAAAGCCTTTGCTGAGTGTTCTTCACCTCCTTCAAAACTTCAAGGTTAGTTCTTCAATCCGTTCTTCTACTTCTTACATATTTTGCTCTCCTAGGCCTTGATCCAGTGTTAGTCACAAAAACACTTTAGATCTAAAGTAGCTCCCCTTAGTGCCTTAGGAGTTGTTTAAGATGAAATCCTTAAACGAGGAGTATTACCCATACGACGACGAGCCCTCCGCCAAGTCTCTTGACTATGATGTGATCGAGGAGTGCGCCGAAGAGATCGAACACCTGAGCCCGTACAAGTTCGGGGATAATGCGGACGAGGAGGACGAGGACGAAAGGTCCGCTTCGTCATCTGAGGGTGAGGACGCAGGGGTTTCCCGCGTAGTGGATGGGGCGTCCGCCTCTACTACCATTCTGTGCCCGAAGCCGGTGTCTGCTGTGGAGGGGCTACCGCGGCCGAAGAGGAACAGGCGGCCGAAGAAGGGGCCGGGTTTCTCTTACCTGGACCTTACCAACATTTTCCTCATCAAGCCGGAGAGCAGTGCCGCTGATTATTTGGTCGCACAGATGTATGTGGGGCCGTTTGGGAGGGTTAGGGCGCCTAGGCCGACGGACCACGTGCTTAATCCGCCATCGGGATACTTCGGAGTGTATCCGATGAGCTTTGCCAAGGGGCTAAGGTTTCCCCTTCATCCATTCATCCAGGAGTATTTGGACATGGTGGGGCACCCTCCGGCCTTGCTGACCCCTAATAGCTACTCGCTGATGGTGGGGTTCCTTCTCTGTTGTGCTGAGTTGGGTTACAGGCCGACAACGGCCCTCTTCATGAACCTCTACCAGATTGGCCGAGGGAGCCACAAGAATTGCGCCTGCTACGCCACTCTGTAGCAGCTGCCAAAGAAGAGGACCTTCACAGACTTGCCTTCATCCATACACGGTTGGAAGAGCAAGTTTGTCTTCGTGTCCCTGGGCGAGGGTGGCACTGAGTTCCCCTCCGTCGGCCATGATGGAAGGTTTACTCTTCATGACCCGCCCAAGAGTTCCATCCTAGATGCTCAGGTGGCGGCGTTCCTGGAGGGGGGGGGGGGGGGCGAGGAGTGTGAAGGATTACATCACGGAGTACAAGATGACCGCTATCGGCTTCTTTAGATACTTCGTGTATGGTGATAAAGAAGATGACCTCCAACTGTGGCCGAAGATGACCACGACCTTCGAGGAGGCCGACGGCCCCGATCTGGGCGTTCCTGTCGAAGTTGATGGTAATACCCCCTACGGCGTACTCATTTTACTTTGTCTTTTGATTTTGCTGACTTATTTCTCTGTTGTGCAGACTTCGTAATGGATCGACGATCCGTGATGAACAAGGCCGCTGCAAGGGCCAAGGTGGAGTTGGCCGCCAAGGAGGTTGCGGCGAAGGCAGCTGCTGGTGGTGATGCGACGAAGAGGCCACCTTCCCCATCGAAGAAAAAACGGCCGGCGGAGGAATCCCAGAGGAAGCTGACAGAGGCCGGTATGCAGCCCACCAAGAAGTCGAAGAAAGCTTCGTCCTCTGCCATTGCCGATGAGGCCGACGTACTAGCCGTCCCGATTGCGGACGAAGGAGGGTCCAATGCTGCTGCTGCCCTCGTGGACCTTACCTCTGGTCTTTCCGGAGATGGTTCTCAACCCCTTTCCTTTGCTGAGGACTCCCGGCCGAAGCGGTCCGGCAAGGAGGTGGCTACGGCCACTTATAAGCTGGAGGTTGAATACCCCAAGGATGGGGGGTTTTTAATGATGGCGTTGACGGCCACAGCGTGCTCTCTCAGGCTATCCCGGCCAAGGACCGGGTGTATCTTGACAATCTAGGGGATGTCAAGATATACGATGGTGGCATGGACCTTGTCGTCCAGGTAATTCCTTTCATCCTTAGTCTTATTGCTTTCCTTTGATATTTTTGCACATTTGCCTGATAGACTTTTCCGTTGCAGGGTGCCTTCATGCTCATGGAGAGCAACAAGAGGCAACAGCGGGAGATTGCCCGTTTGAAGGAGTTCGAGGAGAAGGCAGCCTCGGCCGATGAGGCCATGAGCTGCTTAGGGAGGCTGCGGGAAGATTTTGCAGCCTTGCAGAAGAGGGCCGATGAGGCCGATGCGGCCAAGGAAGAGGCCCTGGCAAAACTGGCCGAAGAGAAGGGTGTCCGTGAGGCTGATTGTCGGCGGGCAGATGAGGCAGAGAGGGCCAAGGCCGAAGCTGAGGCTGCGGCAGTGAAGGCCGCTGATGATGCAGTGGCGAAGTTCCTGGCCGAAGGCTAGAAGGCCGACGAGCGCTTGCCCTGGTGTTATGAGGTCGTAGCGGCCAAGCTTGAAGACTGGGGGCAGAACTCCCCTGCCGGGCAGGAATATTTCGAACGTGAAATGTCCGTGTATTACAACATGGGCCAGCATCGGATGCAGAGGCTCATTTATCGGCGGCTGAGTCGC